CACTACCAAAGCTGGTAAAATTAGTTAATTCAATGAAATCATCCTCCTGCTGACTTGACTTTTTATCTGCATCGTTACTCAAAAATGTCTTCCAGTCTATTGGTCCCTGTGTGCTCACCATAATTAACACTTCACTGGTGTCTGGTAAAGTCCCTGCTAGTCGTCACAGTTTTCATAATCACAGTCATAGAATTAGTCTTCAAAGTGTCATAGCTTTACCACAGTTTCATAGTCTGGTATAGTGTTCAGTATCATAGGTTTTCATGGTCTGTTTTCCAGTTTAGTTTTCTTGTCTGCACTCATCTTAGCTCTTGTTTTGCCTTCTGTCATCAGCCATAATAAAGGCCTGCTTTTTTGTTAAAGTCATGTCTCCTCGCCTGTGTCTCCTCTTGAGTCCTGCTCTAAGTTTGTTACGGACGAGCTCCTAATTTATGCTACATCCCCTGGCTAGTCTAGGGCGTTTGAAGGGACTAACATAAAGGTAAATAGTGAAGGAGGAGCCAAGATGCTAATTTTCAAATGTTTATTTCATGCTAGTGTTGAAATCATGGTTCAGACTGAGGGAATAATTTCAGGGAGAGCCAAGGCCAACATAACAAACAAAACATTCCTGATATGAAAATAAAAGAAATTGACCTAACTCCAAAGAAAAAAAGAAAAAAACTATACAACCTATAACCATAACCTACCTAACAACACATAAAGAGGAGAAAACAGGGTGTCAAAATAGAAGGCAGCTCTCCCCTACAGGCAGTCTGAAAATGAAAACATAAAAATGCAGATAAAAGTCACAAAGGCATGCAAGCCTGCACCGATATGGCAATCAAAATGGCCAGAGGGCCCAAAAACACAGTTCCACAGGTCTTAAGTAGCTCTCTGCTGATTGACAATTAGCTGGATATCTGTGAGTAGCATCCAATCAGGACAGAGGAGATGGAGCCAAGACATAACATAAGGAGTTAGTTGAAAGAAGAAAACCAACATCCTCCTGGGGGATGTAACAAGTTTTAAGACCAAATGGTGGAGAGTCCCAGATATTTAAACCTTAGTGGGAGTTACCCCTTAATAGGGTCTTTGACCCACTATTAAAATCATGTGTTTCATCACATGAGCCAAGGTGTCAAAAAGGGGTGTGGGTCATTATTAGCAGAGGTTTCGGGTGAAACCATTGTGAGTCCTTGCCTCAACCTATCATGTGACCTTTTGAGGTCACCTGACGCAAGATGTGAGTGGGGGTTAAAGAACCTGAGAAGGGATCTCAAAACAACATTGTAACTGATAGACAGCTGATGTCGTATGGCACCTCCTCTGTTCAAGTATGGTCGATCACAGTGGACATAGATGGCTTCTGTCAGTCCTCTTTCAAACCATCTTCCTTCTCTGTCCAAAATGTTAACATTGGCATTCTTGAAAGAGTGACCATTATCCTTTAGATGCAGTTGTATAGCTGAGTCTTCTCCTGTCGAGGTGGCTCTTCTATGTTGTGGATGTCCTTTGTGGATCTTCCAAAGATCCACAAAGGATTAGTTCCACTCAGCCCCATTGTTAGCAGTATAAACAGCCACCTACAACGTTTCCAAGTACCTCGCCACCATTCTAGCTCCCCATGTGGGGAATATACCTCAGCACATCAAAAACTCTACTGACTGATGAATCGTCATGTGAGCTTGTGAACCGTAATTGCCTTCCACATTGCGTCTTTGAGGTAGTGCTAAATGAAAATAAAGCAAATTGAATCTTCTCTGAAGGATGACTGGTCTTTAGAAATAGGATTTTCCCCCAGATGAGCTAGAGGAGGAGGAAGTGACTGGGACGCGGGAGGTCTACGCATCTGGGATGTTGAGGTTGTTGATCCAACAACCCAGATGTGAAGAAGTGGCAGAAAATGGATGGATAGATGCAGTGAGTGCAGAATCTCTATTTCTAATGGATTTCCACACTGTGAAAATATATACGTATCATATATTCAAGTAAAATACCTCATAGTACACTTTTGTCACACCGTATGTTTAATTGCATCATTATTTTTATTCAGTTCATGCTGTTATGACCAACATTACCACAAACAAAACAACATTCCTGACAAATAATTCTTTCATAAAAGCTCATGTACAAGTAAGAATGTATTGTAGACTACATGTTGCTAAATAAACACACAACATTCTTTTTATGTTATTTGCTGTATGTATTATATGATTGTAGAGTAATTGAGAAACAATAATTATCATAATCTAGTGCATTTTGTAGAGTACAGACCCATGATCTACATCACTTGAAGTTCTTCAGAGGCCTGGTAATGAACTAATCATTTGATTCAGGTGTGTTGACCTAGGGTGACTCAGCCCTCGAGGCCTGGAGGATTTAAAAGATAAAATGAAATCTGACGGATGGATAGCGATAGGAAGGTTGTTCCACAGATTCGGTGCAACCAGGGCAAAAGCACGGTCACCCCTAGATTTAAGTCTAGAGCTAGGCTGAGCCAGGAGTAATTGGGCTGAAGACCTGATGGCTAAGAAGATCGACAAGATAACGAGGGGCTAAATTATTTATAATTTTAAAGGTGAGCAACAATATTTTAAATTCAATGCGATATTTTATGGGTAACCAATGCAAATCAATAAGAACAGGGGTGATAGAGGCATGCTTTCTAGTGCCAGTCAGGAGGCGAGCCGCAGCATTCTGGACAAGCTGAAGTCTGTGAAGGAGAGCAGATTGAAGACCAAAGTAGAGAGAATTACAGTAATCCAATCTAGAAGTCACAAAAGCATGAATGAGCTTTACAAGATCTTTATGAGGGACATAGTGCTTAGCCTTAGCAATAAGGCGCAATATCCTATGTTTGGGCTGCTTTGTTAGTCAAACTCTATACGTGTGCCATTGATGTTAACAGAAGTGTTCCTTAAAGCCTCAGACAGCTGTAAATATGTAAATTATTTTTATTATTATTTATAACCTTGATTCTGAATTGTGTACTAAATTAGAAAAAAATAAATCACCTTCCAGGGATAGATTTTGCTTCCAGATCCCCACTTAAAGGTAGTTGAACTGCATTCCAGCAGGTTTAAAGAAACAGCGCAAAGCCAGCAGAATAAAATGTGAAGCCATGATGCCGATAAGCAGGAGACAGAACCCAGAACGCGTCAATGTGCTTATATGTCAGCGCATCATGGGCGATGGTTTTATGAAAATTCACCTGTAAATCATATGTCCTCCTTCTCCTGACCGCCCACCCTGACACATTCGGAAGAGCAAGTCATAAACAAAACCAAAAATGTACATATAGATACGGATATGAAAGTTTTAAAATTATTATATGAAACATTTTCAATCATCTTGGAACATTTTAAAATTCAGATTATTATATGTGAAAATTCCATAACATACTTTTATTTAATGACCTCAACAGTTTTCATATAGTTAAACTATTGCATTTTATCAACATGTAACTAGAAGTAAAGGTGGACTTTGCATATTTCGTGTGTGTGTGTGTGCGCGCGCGCGCCGTGTTGGTGGTATTCATCTTTCCGGAGAATTTTCCAGACATTTGTTTGTGGTTTAAAATTTGTTTCTCTTTGGCATCCATCATCACATAAGCACTTATGCCTTCCCACCTGCTTACTGAGATCAAAACCTTACCTGTTGATGTTGTTTTTGCTTTTGCTAACTTTAGCCATTTTTGTGGAAATTTATACTTATTTTCTTTCTGTTGTTGATGCCATTTTTAACCAAAGAAATGCATTAATAACTGGTCGCGCTAATATGGGTGATGTTGATAATAACCATTATATTAAGATCTTTTTTCATACATATCACTTTACCTCCCTATTGGCTTCAGATGGTTGTTTGTTGTGCTTCATCGGGTGAGGGCCTCCAGCTCGCACTGGAACGGTTCGCAGCCGAGTGTGAAGCAGCGGGAATGAGGATCAGCACCTCCAAATCTGAGGCCATGGTTCTCAGCCGGAAAAGGGTGGAGTGCCCACTCCGGGTCGGGGATGAGTTCCTGCCCCAAGTGGAGGAGTTCAAGTATCTCGGGGTCTTGTTCGCGAGTGATGGGAGAAGGGAGCCGGAGATCGACAGACGGATTGGGGCTGCAGCTGCAGTAATGCGACGCTGCACCGGTCACGTCGTGGTGAAGAGGGAGCTGAGTGTAAAAGCGAAGCTCTCAATTTACCGGTCGATCTACGTCCCTACCCTCACCTATGGCCACGAGCTGTGGGTAGTGACCGAAAGAACGAGATCGCGGATACAAGCGGCAGAAATGAGCTTCCTCCGAAGGGTGGCTGGCCTCTCCCTTAGAGATAGGGTGAGAAGTTCGGCCATCCGGGAGGGGCTCAGAGTAGAGCAGCTGCTGCTCCACATCGAAAGGAGCCAGCTGAGGTGGTTCGGGCATCTGACAAGGATGCCCCCTGGGCGCCTCCTGGGTGAGGTGTTCCAGGCATGTCCCACCGGGAGGAGGCCCCGGGGCAGACCCAGGACACGCTGGAGAGATTATATCTCTCGGCTGGCCTGGGAACGCCTTGGTATTCCCCCGGATAAGCTGGAGGAGGTGGCTGGGGAGAGGGAGGTCTGGGCCTCTTTGCTTAGGCTGCTGCCCCCGCGACCGGCCTCGGATAAAGCGGATGAAGATGGATGAGGATGGATGTTGCTCATCCACAAAAGGCAACCGACATAATAGCCCCCACTATAGCTGCAGAATCCTGCAGTGGACATACAACTCAGCCTTCAGTTTAAAAAGTTTTAGCTCATTTTTTTAGGTTTAGAAAAAAATGTATATAATATATTTGAATTATAAACTCACGCCATGATTTCATTTTTGATGTGCCATGATTTCCCAGACTACCTCAGTACAAATTAATGCGAACCACTAGTGTGTTCTCGTTTAAATGACACATTGTGCTGTACTTACGTTTGTGCTGAATGTAGACTGCAAGTTTTTTTCTTCTATATTTCAAAGTCAAATATCGCACAATGAAGTTCATACTCATACTCCATTTAATTTCACAACTTTCAAGTACAAATACAACAAAGAAAAAAAACCTGTCAGTTATACAACATGAAATCTGCTGTTAAAAGATTAAAAGCAAATTATAGTCAGTGACTCAATAAGGCTTCAATAAGGCGCACGGGATTATAAGGCGCACTGTTGATGAACGGGTCTGTTTTCATACATAGGGCACATGGGATTATAAGGCACATTAAGCGAAACAAAACAGTCAGATAAGTTAAACTTTACTCAACTCATTCTTCTTGCTTCCTCCACCTCCGTGCCATTGTTTGATTAATGATGAATGCACCTTATAGTGCGGAAAATACGGTATATTAAAATAACACAGCTCAAAGTTACCTACTTTTAGCTACAATTTTGTGACTAACATTATTCCAAGCAAAACAATAATCCTGAAAAATAATAAAATTTCAACTACAAGACTGTATGTTCATTAATAAGCACAAAGCACTCTTTCTGTGTTATGTTTATACCTCACATTTTCGAGTAACTCAGAAACAATGCATCATATAATCTAATGTGATGGTACAATTTATAATATGCTAAGATATGGTATATATAACAATCATTGTCTTTGATGAAAGAAAATAAATGTAAGTTTTTCAGATTCTTTGATTTACTTTATAAACAGTTTAACTGTCTATTGTCCTTCCTGTGCTTTTGGCTGTGGCTCCTCTTCTGTTTGAGTTGGTGGGACACCCTCTAAGAAGGTACAGAAGTACTTTGGTGTGTTTAAGTCAGGCTTCCTTAACAACAAATAGCATTTTGGAAAGTAGTAGGCTGCCAACAGTCCAAAGTTGCTTGCCAGGCTGAAATAAACATGGACAATTGACCTGTTCTTGTTAGCTGAACTATTGTTTCCTATGTAGATTGGAATAAAGATCACCCAAATGACACAGTAGGTCAGGGTGGAAAAGGTGATGTCCCTGGCTAAGTTATACTGATGAAGAGGCTTCACTGCCATGAAGGTGCACATGAACGATGCAAGGGCCATTACACCATTGAAACCCTGCATTAAGGCAAATCCAATCAAAGGTGAAACAGGACACGATAGGAATGATTCTACAAAGTCTATTGTCATATTTGCCACATATCCAGACAATGAAGGTCCTTCTTGAACAAACCAGCCACAGAAACCAGCCTGTACAGCGCAGCAGATCAGCACAAACAGCCAGCTCACAGGGCCTCTTAACAAATGCAGATGAGAGGCAGCCATCTCTGGGAACTCTGTTACATAGAGTATCTGTTTGAAAGGTAAGGTTACCATCTTGATTATAATGTATACTTTTTATTTTATCCTACAATATCCTTAAGTTTGGCATGAATACATATAATTCACATTTAAAAAGCTTCTGAAATTTCTAGAGAAATTTAAACTAGAAAACCTGTCAAGCTGCAATTTACATTTATCTGTCCAAGCAGGTATGTGAGCTGATAGAGAGACTTTGACAAAACAAACTGAAATCTGAAATACAGACACATTACACAAAAAAGCTGAATATATTATAACAGAGGTTCTGGGCCAGCATCCAAAATCAAATGTTGCAAATAAAGTACAATTTCTTAAGTGTGGATCCTTCTTTCAGAAACAAAGACAAAATTTGATGTGATTTTGGGGTAAATTTCTTGAAATTGTATATATAGAAAAGACAATTCATGTTTTTTTTCTATTAATGTCAGTATATTATAAATATTAATAGTACCTGGACAGACACAAACTCAGCTCAAGTATGATTTTGCTGTAATACCAATCTGACCCATCAAGTAAGAGTTTATGAGGCTTCATATTTTCACCACCTTCACTACCTCTATGTCTTGCATCTTCGCTTTTTTACCCACCTGCATCTAATTCACACACATATATTCTGATTGTTTCTGTAGACATTTACTTAAAAAACATTGTAAAACCTCTTGTAGACAAACAAACAAAAAAAGCTATCTGGACTCCATGGATAATTTTAGATCAATCTCCAAGCTTTCTTTTCTTTCATTTTTTAAATTTTTTTTTTTAAAAAAGCTTAATCCTAAACAAACCTAATGACATTCACATGCTCAACACACTCTATGACTGTATCCAATATATTAAATCATGGATGTCCCACAACTTCCTTAAGCTAAATAGAGACTGAATTAGTCATTGCTAACCATTGCACAATAAACACCGATCAGGCAAAACATTATGACTACTAACAGGTTCTGATAGAAAAGTGTCAGAATACACAGTGCTTCACAATTTTTTGCATCTGGGCCTGCAGCTGCAGATCAGTCAGGTTAAACTTGCTGAGCTCTGTCCACTGCTGAAAGCACCAACAATGGGCACATGAACTGGACCATGGAGCAATAGGAAAAGGTGGTGTGGTCTGAATAATATTTTCTTTTACATCTTGTGGATGCCCAGGACCATGTGTGTTACTTACATGGGTATCATCTGGCACCAGGATACACTATGGGGAAAAAAGCAGCCCAGTGGAGACAAGGCAATGTTCTGCTGGTCCCATCATCCATGTGGATGTTACATTGACACCTAGCTAAATATTGCTGCACACCATATACATGGAAGCAATATTCCAAGATGACTGTGGCCTCTTTCAGCAGGATAGCGCATACTGCCACAAAGCAAATGTGGTTCAGGAGTGGCTTGAGAAGTCTCAATCTAAGTGAGTTCGAAGGAAATGTTGCTAACATCTTGGTGCTAGATACCACTGCTTTAGTGGAGTCCATGCCGCCATGGGTTAACCCTGCTTTGGCAGTACAGTGGTCCCTCGTCATAACGCAGTTCACCTCTCCTGGCCTCGCTGTTTCGCTGATTTTTTAAAATAATAAATAATAGTGGATTGCATTTATTCTCTGGCAGCTGCTCTATTCCCATGTTCTGGACCTGGAAACAGGCTTTGATCTTTCTTTTCTTTCTATAATATTGGACTTATTTTTCTAGGAAGGTTTGAACTTTGAGAGTGTGAAAAGTGTGAAAAGGGTCATGCCTGTCTGAGAAAGTGTATTAGGTGTGTAGTGAGGGGTTTAACGGCCTTAAAACATCTATAATAATTGTAAAAAATAAAGCTGGCTACTTTTATTTCACCTATCGCGGATTATTTGTAGAACGTAACTCCCGCGATAAACGAGGGACCACTGTAAAAGGAGGACCAACATGATAGTGGGCAGGTGTCCATATTGTTATGCCTGATCATTGTATAATGTCTATAAGTGATATTTTTGTAGGTTTTAAGTAATTATTAGAATAACACAATTTCTTAATACAAACAGAAATATTACACACTTTTAATCTGCTTTACAATCTGTTAAGGTTCAAATATTGATCCACAAATCCCAGCTGGGAAATTTCAATTTTTTTTCTCTCACAATAGCTGATTCTGTAGTTTCTCTACACTGCCATCGGGAGGCGGCATTTCACCAGTCTTAACTCACCTGTAGTGAGAATAAAAGGATAATGGAGAGGGTGAGTGTCTGGAAAATGGAGGTGAAAGGCAGCTGAAGACGACACACCACATCCCCTGGCGCCCCCAGGAAGAGCAGCAGACTGAGACATGCTCCCATCAGGCCGAACACAGCCACAAAACTCAAGGGACCCCCCGAGGCCGTTACCAGGGGGGTTCCTGGGTGCATCAGGAACATGACACCCACTGACCCCTGACATATTAGCAGGAGCGCACCAACTAGCATCATTATCACAGCATCCTGGCTGTGCCACTCAAAAAACTTAAAGATGGGGTCAGTGCAGTTTGTGCTGCGATGCTGGGACCACTGACGGTTGGGACACTTAGTACACTGGGTGTCGTCTGTGAGTGAGAAAGCACAAAAATATGGCTTGATTAAAAAATATGCTATTTCATAATAATCAGATTAACTCAATACTGTATTTAATGTATGATTTACTGAATCTGTAAACATCAAATGTATGGTGTATTGCAAAGAAGCAGTTAAAAAGATCAATATCATCTGTGTTTTAAATCTATAGTTATCATTAGTTAATGTTTTAGATTAGGTTTTTACAGTGGCTTTGTGTGGAATTATCTCTTGGTTGCATATTGTGACTCTTTGAAGCTACAACTACCACAATATATTAAAACTAGCTGTATGTTATTCTATGAACTAGAGATGCTAGACTATAGAATTTTATTAAGGAGGGGAAAGGCTCTTTTTACATTACCTGGTTTTATGTCATATAAAATTACCTGCTAGCTTAAAAAAATTAAAAAAATATACATATAGAAAATTCCCCTCTCGCCCTTACGAGCGGTCTGTATTCTTCAAGCTCATCTACCAGAGGCCTGGGAGTTTGAGGGTCCTGTGCAGTATGTTAGCTGTTCCTAGGACTGTGCTCTTCTAGGCAGAGATCTTGGATGTTGTTCCTGGGATCTGCTGGAGCCACTCGCCTAGCTTGAGGGTCACTGCACCAAGTAGTCCAATTACCACTGGGACCACTGTTACCTTCACCCTCCACATTTTCTTCAGCTCTTCTCTGAACCCTTGGTACTTCTCCAGCTTCTTGTGTTCCTTCTTCCTGATGTTGCGGTCATTCGGTATCGCTACGTTGATCACTAGGGCCATCTTCTTCCGCTCGTCTACAGCATCTTAGCTCGGTCATTCTCCACCAACCTAGGAGGCGTCTCCCATTTTGACCTTGAGACTTCCAGGCCGTACTCGGCACAGATGTTTCTGTATACTATGCCAGCCACTTGGTTATGGTGTTTCATGTATGCCCTGCCCACTAGCATCTTGCACCTTGCTGTTATTTGCTGGATTGTCTCAAGGGCATTTTACACAGCCTTCACCTCGGCAGCCCATATCACGATAAGTCAGCTTTTATGGATCTGGTACTTAGAGATTGCTCCTGGGCTGCCATGATTACTTGGTTAGTGCCTCTGTGCTGTCTTTCAGTCCAGCTTTGTCAAGCCACTGGTAGAATACACACACACACACACACACACACACACACACACACATATATATATATATATATATATATATATATATATATAAAACACATAAATCCTTTTTTATTCTCTTGACAAGGATGCAACTAAGCAAATAAGGACACATATCTCGTGTAAGAGTGGCCGAACACATTACCCTTATTTGCCTGGTAGGTGCCTGCCAAACAGTCAATACAGTCAAAGCAGCAGGAATGGAAGCCTTTGACTCTGTGGACCTGGCCTTTACCACAATTTGCTGAACAAGTGGATGTAGGAACCTGCAAAAGTTGTTTAAAAAAAAGGAAAGGAAAAAGAGAGAACAAAAAAACACAGTATCTCAAATTCCATGATGATTGGGATAAACTGGATGACAAATCTTTTTCATTATATTACTTACTATAAAAGACTTTGACAGACAGCTAAACCCCAGAACCCTTAATTAAATATCAGAAGAAATTGAGTGGACGCAGATGTAAATATTTAAGTACCCATTCTATTATAGCTTGCTAATAAGGATGTAATACTAAATAACAGAGATAATAATAAGATGGGAAAAGGAAGGTAATAATATAGAAATAGGAAGTTATTTAATTAGCATAATATACAATTAACAAATAATATGGATTATCACTATTACAATGACATGTAGAGAAATATCACACTGAAATATATGGAATAATACATTGATTAAAAAAAATACTACAACCTGCTAGCAATAAAATACTAACACTTGTGCATTAGAATTATTATTATTATTATATTTTTACATATGTGTAATAATGAAAACTCAGGGCTGCAAAATAAAAATGGCTTCTTTCTTTATAATTCTGTCTTTATAAATCTTTATAATCTATTAAAGCAAACTTCACCATGATAATTACCTTGAAGACTTCTTCATTCTTGTGGATGATTTTAACATCCATGTTGATGCAAAAAATGACAGCCTCAACATGGCATTTGATCTGTTATTGGACTCAACTAGCTTCTCTCAAAATATTTATAAGATAAAATCCATAAAACTAGAACATCTTACTCTTCAGCCCTGTAGCCAGGCTGACAAAAATTCAGAGCTCTGTTGAGTCAGCCAGTCCGCATCACTACAGGCGCAGCACTAATTCGCCTGTTGATCTCCCACTTCATTCTCACCTAACGCTTAAACAAGGCCCCAAGATACTTAAAGTCTTCCACTTGGGGTATGAACTCTTTCCTGAGCCGGAGTGGGTATGCCACCTTTTTCTGGCTTCACACTCCACTGCAAACTGCTCCAGAGTGAGCTAGAGGCAGTCACCTGATGAAGCCAACAGAGTCAGAACACCTGCAAAAAGCAGACATGAGATTCTCACACCATCCAAGTGGAAGTCTTCCGCCACTTGGCTACGCCTGGAAATTCTATCCATAAAAATTATGAACAGAATCGGTAATAAAGGGCAGCCCTGAATTCCACCAGGGCTGCCCCCTGGAAATGAGTCCGACTTATTCCCAGCTATGTGGACCAAGTTCTTGCAATGGTTGTATAAAGCACTCGTAGCAGTGGGCCAGACACCCCTTACTCCTGAACCACCTCCCACAGGACACTGCGAGGGACAGGGTTGAATGCCTATTCCAAGTCCACAAAAGACACTGGTTGGGCAAACTCACATGATCCCATGAGTATCTTCAAAAGACTAAAGTGCCGGTCGAGTGTTCCACAACCGGGACGAAAACCACATTGTTCCTCCTGTATCCAAGCTTGAACTAACAGATGGCAGCACCCTGGCATAGATTTGGCCAGGGAGGCTGAGGAGTGTGATCCCCCTATAGTTGAAGCACAGCCCCCCCGGTCCCCTTTATCAAAAATGGGAACCACCATCCCAGTCTGCCGATCCAAAGGTACCGCCCCTGATCTCAATGCAACATTGTATTTCACAATTACACTGACAGCTGCTCTTTGCTAATTCTCTTGAACAGGGGGATCAGGTGTGGAAGAGGAACGCTTTCTTAGATCATGACGCATATGGTTCTCCTACATTTGATATTTGCATCTCTATTTGATACATCAGCATTCTGTTACAAGAGAATGCTGATGTGCTGTTGTTTGACTATAGTTTTTGTTCATGTTTGAGGAGAAACACATTAGGACAACTGTAAATCTGACTTAAACTTATGCCTATAGTTCTTTGGTTAATCATATATTTTCATTATGGAAAAAATAACAGTTGTGGTGTGAGGGTGTGAAAACCGAGACAGACCTACAACATCCAGAGCGTAGAGGAACTTAGAGCAAAACTCGTCCACCAGGTCTGCCCAGCATCCTCCCTTGCCACCTGATCAAACTCACCACATTGAAAATTAATGGGTAATAACTTGCTATTTCCAGATTGTTCTCTTCTGTTTCCACCGCAATATTACTGAGCTGTGATATAATGTGCAACCAATATTTTACCTAATTACAAATGTTACCTCTGCTGTATGCCATTCAAAGTGGTTCTTGGAGATGTGCAGTTCTTGCTCAGAATATTCTCCCACAGTTCTGATATCCACTTGAGATGAGTTTGTCCAGACCCACTGAATGACATCGTATCCTATGTTCGGGTTGCCATATTGGTCGAATTCCAGATTTGTGCTATTTATGTTAATAGAAGTCTTCCTTAAAGCTTCCAGCAGCTGCAAAATGAAATGATTGTTGGTATTATTGATAAGTTTGATTCTAAATTGTGTACAGTGGTCTATATAATAGAAAAAAATGAAATCACCTTCCAGGGATAGATTTTGCTTCTAGATCCCCACTGACAGGCAGTTAAATTGCACTCCAGCAGGTTATGCAGTGCCTGTGCTACACTATAGACAGCGGCATACACACTGAAAGCTGATGTCTGCACTGCAGGTGCTTCTACCAGGGTAATATTATCTGGTGACAAGTTCCAGCATTGTGGGCAGGGATTGTTAGTATTGTAAAGATTTGTGGCTGGAGTGGATGTCTTTGTCCGCTCTTCACTGAGTTTCTTGAAGAGCTCCATTGCATAATCGGTGAACAGGCCGAGGGTGTCTGTTTTGTCAATGAATGCAATGATTGTACCAACTGTTTCAATGTCAGGCAGAGAAGTCACTCGAGCATCGATGGCCCAGCTTGTGGTGCCAATCCATACAGCTGTTAAATTACTCCTGATAACCTGGAATAAATTGGATTTGTTTACCAGTACTGAACAAACACTAACAGAAATGAATAGAGATGAATACATTTCTGAGTTACTTTAAATCTCTGTTTCACCAACCTCTTTAAAAAAGATTTCACTTTGCTCTGGGAGAGAAAACACCACTACCACTCTGACATTGGTCATTTGGATATTGTGAATGATGGTTTTGACCATTGGCACAGGGTCAGTGTACACTGGAATCAGACCCTGATAGGCCACACAGATAGATGTGTTGTCTGCAAATTTGGTGAACATCTGCACACCTTCTTGCCCGTACTCCTCGTCACTGCCCACAATTGCCACCCAGTTCCAGCCAAATTCCTCTATTAGCTTTATTATGACATCCACTTGCCATTTGTCACTGGGCACCGTACGAAAGAATGACGGGTAGGAAACATCATCACTGAATTTGTCACTGGTGGCCCCATAGCTAATCTGGTGTGAAAATTAAAAACAAAGTGTTAGTTACCTTTGCTTATTGTTGACACATAAGACTTGATATATTTTTATCAATTAAAAAATGACAATAATATTAATTATAGACTGATTTTGTTTTTTTATGACACATGTGACATAACCATATGGATCAAGATTTCGATTACTGCACATTATTTAATGCATGCATTGCATGCACTCTCAAATATGTGCAGCAAGAGAAAATATCCTGCAAATTATTTTAAAAAAGTGTATTCAAACCTGTGGCATCAGAAAGAATCCCAGGAGTTTTCCAATGAATGACACCATTTTTGAGGTATAAGGACCAATCACTGCAGCTACGCTGGTCTCATAGGTGGTGTAATTACACCGCACAGATAGTTCTTTGCTGGATTTTTCAGTGAGGAAGGACAGAGTGGGCTTTACAATAATGGCCGACTGGCTGCATGTGTCATAGATTTCATAACCTAACTTGATGCCAGGGAGGAGAGTCTGGTTTCCGTTGATTTCATCCACTGCGTATTTCATGGCTATTGCAAGTCCCAGTCCAAGATCATTTACTCTGTTGAGTCCCAAGTAGAAAAAAATAAAAAACTTTTTTAGTCAGGGTCAGTATACACAGTGATTTAGAATCTGAAATGTTAGATATAAAAATATATATTAGATTAAAAAACTTGATATAATCAGTATAAGGAAATGTGAAATTAATGCGATAGAGGTGGGAGATCATGTTATAAGAACAATAACAGTAGAATTGTGATCTTTGGAACAATTAAAATGAAGGAAAAATATCTATTATAGGAGGCAGCAAATGCATTGATGAGACGTAATATTATATCCAGTCGGAAGTAACTTAATAAAGTACAGAAGGAAATAAATGCAAAATATTAGTTATACAATACAACAATTTTTGGTTAAAACATAGTCAAAAGGAGTGTGCTGTTCTCTGTAACGTACGAGGGGAAATTATTACACTAACAAAGCATACGTTGTAGATAATATCAAATACTTGAATGAAAAGAAAATAATTTGGATTTTAAAAGTATATAAATACAATTAATCTATTGCATATAATGCACAACTAACAAAACTCATAACTGAGGAAGCACAAGGATTGTGGGAAACGATGGATACGGTAATGAATGTTTTTACAACACCTTTAAGTTAATTTATGTCCAGACATTTAAGTTGATTTTTCGGAAAGAAGAATGCTTGACATGAAATTATTATTATGTTTGTCATACCAAAGCAAGACAAGGACCATATTGAGTGCAGTACTTATTTCTATTTCTTATTTACTTAACACAAATAATGAACAGCAATCATAGCAGACATTTAAAAAACCCACATTTATAAAATTATATACCGTGATACTAGTTTTGATCATTAAGTACCTGTGCTGTTTATAAGTCTAGGGAAACCTGCAGTCAGATAATGAAACATTTCTCCCATGCAAAACATTTTGAACTGAATCCTAATGTATCATCACCCAATGTAATGCATCCAGGTATTTCCTTACTTGGATTATTGAGCATACATAAAGACAAAACTTCACCAGTATTAATGAATAAGTTGAAAAACATAGCACTTTGCTACTGTTTTTTAAATAATTAATTTATAACCATGACAATTTAAGAAGAGAAAATATATTTCAATGGAAATGCACTTAAAAGTAATACATAAATAAAGCTGAGAAGAAAATTCCATTCAAGTGAAACACATTTGCTGACTTAAAACATGAAGAAGGATTTGTACATTTTATAACATAATGAATAAAGAAGCAATTCCACCCGGATTTATAACCAGATATCTTAGATATTGTCTTCTGATACTTTAATTCTTTAGCTAAAACAGGACTGGTAAGATTTTGGCAGATCTTCACTGAAATGGATTCCTTTGAAAATACTTCTACTTTTCCACTCCTGTTAAAAATAAAGATAGAATCTCAGTTTTTTAAAGAGTCCTTCATAACCATCCTTACCTGTCACAGGTTATCTGGTTTGGCTCTGTTATGTCACTGACGTTGCTGTTGAGGTCGTTAATGGGAAAGAGCCCGCCAAGCATAATGTCCCCAGGTAAACTGAAGAGGTTGGCAGAAATGTTGCTGAACCATTCAGGAAAACTCTCACTAAAGCTCACTCTAAAGAAACAGCACAAAACCAGTAGAGGTAAACATAAAGCCATGATGCCAATAAGCAGGAGACTGAACCCAGAAAGTTTCAGTGCGCTTTCATGTCAGTGCATCATGTTTTTATGCAGACGGTTTCATGCAAATTCAGTCCTCATGTCCACCTTCTCCTGACCACCCAACCTGACACTTTAGAGCAAATGGTAAACAAAACAGAAAATTTACATGTGTGGTATGAACAGATATGAACTTTTTAAAATTATTGAATAAAACCTTTTTCATCATAATGAAAAGAAAAACAAATGCAAACTCTGGTGTATGAAGATTGAATGGCACAGTCTCATTTAATGACCTTAATGGTTTTCACATAATTAGGACACTGCATTTAATTAACATGTACCTAGAGGTAAAGACTTTGCACATGTTATGCATGTTTGTGTGTATGCTGTGTCAGTTGTGTTCATCTTTCCGGAGAATTTTCCTAACATTTGTTTGTGGCTTGAAATTTGCTTCTCTTTGGTGTCTGCCATGAGATGAGCAATTCCTTTCCGCCTACTTACCCAGAGTAATCCTTGCATATCGAATGTTAGTTTTTGGAAGGTTTTCACTTCACTGACTTTATAACATAACTTTTGTGATAAATTATGCTTATTTTACCCTATTATTGATGCAATTCTGAGCCACTGAAGAGCATTAATAGGTGTTTGTCCTGAAATTGGTTGATAATAACCTTTATATTGAGATGTGTTTTCATGGAGCTTTGTACTCACCACACTATTGGCTTTGCATGTTTTTGCATCCAATGTTGCTAAAACCAACTGAAATATTAGCTCTCATGACATCTACATAATTCTGAAGTGCACATGTATTATCTACAGTTGGGTGAAAAGTTTAATACCCATGATTAGTATATGTAACGTCATGGTAATTTAATGTGTTCTTTAAATTGTTCTTGTGGAATAATTGCACAGCATACATGTTAATGACAAAGGAACTCAGTAAGGATCTAAGAAGGAGAATTATACATTTCCACAAATTAGGAAGGTCTCTTGGAGCCATTTCTAAACAAATGCAGATTTCAAAATTTATCAGTTCCACTTTGCCAAAGTCAGAAAGAAGGCTCAAACTGTCAGCCACAGATGGGAGGAAACTGGTTAGGGTATTAAGGAACAACCCAGGAACCACCAAGACTCAAGCCTGCCATGAACTAGAACTTGTTGGAACAGCAGCTTAACTGTCCACAGTGAAATGGGTTTTACAACACCATGGATGGTAAGGGTGCCAACCAAGAAGGAAACCTCTGCTCCAAAACTCACATCTTCATTCTCTAATGAAGTGTATACACATAGAAGCCAAATGCTTTCTGGAGAAAAGGTTTTTGGTCAGACGAGACAAAGATTAAGTTATTTAGTCACAATGTCAAGTTGTATTCTTGGAGGAGTAAAGGTGATACTTTACCTAAGAATACTCTGGCAGCTGCTGGTGGTAGCATCATACTCTTGGGCTGCTTTGCTGACATTTGTATTGGTACATTGCAGAACATGTATGGAACAATGAAGAAGGAGGACCTCCTCAAATCAATAGCTAAATGGCTGAAACTTGGACACAGTTTAATGTTCCAACAGGAAAATGATCCCAAACACACATCAAAACTGGTTTTTGGAAAATATAAAGCCCATGCCAGGAAACCAAGCATTTTAAATGAACTCAGCTAATTCTGAGAGTGGTCAAATATCCAGGGAGATACAACAGCATCATCATGTATTGCCAAACAAACAAACAAAAAACAAAACAAAAAATGAATCAAAAGAGAGCAAAAACACTTGGCTTGCTACAGGTTTATCTTTTCTTGAACTATTCTCAAATGTTAAGCCAGGAGTGTCTGATTTTACTTCATGTGCTCAGTTTCATCTGAAATGTTATAGAAAGCAGTTTTTTCTCTTTCTTTTGGTGTCAAGAAGTGCATGCATATTGTAAAACACTCATGATGATCAACAGCCAGTTTTCCACAATATGCCACGGTCTTTCCATATTTAATAAGTCTGTTATCTTTATTTGTGCTTACAGTTCAGAATCACAAAATCTTCACATGGTGATAAGTTTGTCTTTGTAACCCATATCAACTACTCCCTGTCACATGACCCACGTCAGCTGATTTGAGGTCCCTCTTCTGATTGGCTCCTTTCGGTAATAAAAAAAAACCACAAGAAGTTTTTTTATGTTTTGAGCAAGTGGTTAAATCATTTTCTTATTTAAATTAGAATTGCCAGTGATTCTACTAAGTTTTATATTTGCAAAGTCAATCATTGTATAGCATTTGACCTTCTGGTTGAATGAATCTGGCCTGTAGGGTATCTGGATCCTGTAAGCCTTGTATTGGCCCTTTCAAATATTTTTACATTCATGAATTTTTCTTTTTTAAATACCACCACCCACCAACAAATAGCTTTAAATGTACATCATTGGGTCAATAATTATGATCCAGTAATTCTAGCAAATCCAGTTCTCCATAGTATTCTGAAAAGTGGGATTCTACGTAATGTATTTACTTTAGGTACTTTGATTATACAACTAAAACAATATCAAGTTACTGTATGATTAAACATTTTACATCCGTAAAAAGCCCAGTGTGCAGCTCCACTTTTTGTGTACCAAATCTGTAACAGATCACAGGTACAGACTCACCATCATGTCCAGTTTTTTGTATACAAATTGTAAATTAAAACCATTAAAATGTGATGGCCTACAAACATAAGAGGAGAAACATGAGTAAAAGAAAACCACATTAATCATTTCTAGGGTTTAAGTTGGAAACATTCAATATGCATCACTGTAAAACACATTAACCGACATAGTATAGAGGAAGATCGTAAAGACAGAAATGAAATGGAGAGCGATTCATAGTAATCTTACTATAAGGAAGAGCTGCATTTTTTAGTCCTGATTCTCTAGTTGACATTTGGAGCATACAAGGAGGAAGTGGTTTCCAGTTTGCTCCACATAACTAAAGGCATTCTTACAAATCACATTTCACTGAGAAATACTCACAGCAACAGCAGAGAAAGTCAAGGTGCGAAGCAGCTGCTACAAACAGATTATGAAAATGTGTATGTTTTAACAGTCATCTCAATTTATTTCAATTGAATTCAATTTTATTTATACAGTACCAAATCCCAACAATCACCTCAAGGTGCTTTATATTACAATATATATTTTGAGAGCATCTTGCCTCTGGCTGCTCTCTTTCCTTCCTGTAGGGACAACTCACAGGAGTGTACCCTCACCTGTTCCTGCTGAATCACATGTTGGCACACCTGCATTTTATCAGATCATTTCCTGCACATGAAAGAACTGCTTCTCATTCGTTCTCGATCCATCACCAGATCGTTATAGTTATCAAAGCGGTAAGAGACTTTGAATGCTCAGATATGCCCCGCACTGATCCAGTCTGCTTTTGCTCAACCACAAAAACATACACTGCCTGTTGGAAATACTTCTCAGGTAAAAATCCTCTGAAAAGATGTTTACCTGTGACTGATCGGAAACTACAGTATAGAAATTTGCAAAATTTACTTTTGTTTAGCATTAAAACATGTTGAGCACACTTCTGCAAGTTCTTGCATTATATGTGAATAAAACTTCATCAATCATTTTTTCAATGTATCTTTTGACACGAGTAAGCTTGACTTTAGGACAAAGGGTTTGCCGTGGGAATAAAGGAAGTCTGCTGCTATCTTGTCATCTTGACGTAAGAAGGTCGGTGTTAGTTTGCTTTAATACAGCTTGTCTGCTCCTGTCTACTTACCCTCACCCTTTTACACAAGCTGGCATGCAAGGTTTTATCCTCTCTGTGAATGGTCAGGATCTCTTTATTTGCAGAAACATTTAAAGATGCTTACATGTCTCTGACTGGATCTTGTGTGCGGGCGGGTTCAGTATTTGTGCATACAGTGCATGCAAGATTAACATCTTGTTTATGTCAGAGCAGCTTTCTTCCTCAAGCATGAAATCACCTCCTACCTTTTTGTGTTTTGTAGCTAAGGAGACCATTTATTGATAATCTGGCCCAACATCACACACATGCAAAGAGTTGCCTGTTTTGTTTCATACACAGTGATAAATCAGTGCGGTACTAAGACAAAGGAAAAAGTAAAAAAATATATTAACACGACTGCAAAACCTATAACCACGGCTGTTAGCTGTCTTCTCATAATGATTCCTATGAATGCTGTAAACAGTCTTTTCTTGACAAAGTAGCACAAAATCTTTATGCTTGGCTGGATGCCATTAGAGGTTAGGATGGGAATTGTTTCACACACTGTGCAACTATGAAAAAGGAGTGGATCCCTACTGTAGTGGTTCAAAAATGTTCTTGACACAAGAAATTTTAAAGGTTTCAAGACCAGGAGAAGACACAAATTAGGAAAGGTGTCTGGTGTAAAATTGGTGGCAAAGGTAACATCTGTCTGTTGTGGTGACCCCTTGGAAAGTAAGGGAGCAGCTGAAAGCACCTACAGTTTATGGACTTTGATTTAGGTTGGGGGGGGGCGCTCATTGGGCACCCTGTGCTGCTGGGGTTGTGCCAGCTGGTATATTTCCTGGGCTTTGGGTCTGTTAGGGTTCCCTTAGCTCTTACTGTGCTATGGTTCCTTTTCTTTGCAGTCCATACTGCTTGGGTGAGACCAGGATGTGTTGTGTGGCCTCGGGCACTGGTGGAGGCCTCCCTGCATGTTTTTGGCTCAGCACCTTATTATCCACTCTGTCCTGGTCTTCACTGTTGGTTGGGGCCACTTGGGGTTTCTGGGTTTGTGTGGGTTCTCGTCATCCCTCCGTGTGTTAGTGTTCAGGTTCCTTTGATTTGCGTGACCGTGGTGGCGGGAGCACGTGTTCTCGAGGTGTGAAACAGCCACATCTATACAAGATGATGGAAACTAATCCTGTAGCTCATGGCACATGTGACATTTGAGTTTGCTACCTGTTTCATCATTACATTTCATTACAGTAAAACAATAAAGAAAAAAAAGAGACTATCAGTTATTCAACAACAAAGTTCTAA